AAGTCAAGCTGATGTCGCCTATAATTTAATGAAAAGGCGCGTATATTACGTGATCTATAATTTATCAATAGGAACCGATACACAACTCGAATTATATGTATGTTGTTACCTCTTTTGTCGATATTAAACAACGACGGATGAATTAATATTACTGCAGGTGTGAAACCGTCTATTCGATTATAAATGAATAAATTATATGTATATACGATAAATTTCCACGTCAGATATTGAATGTCAAAATATCGATGAGCACCATATGATATCGTTATATTTTAAGTCATTATCTTAATGGCATCAAATGATTATGATTTGTCATAGGTATCTTTAGAATTAATGTATTCCTTCGCTAGAGGTATATACATAGTCTGTCCATAGTTGTCACGTAGGAATGTCGTAAAGGTAACAAGGCACGAGCGGCACCTTTAACCTTCACTTTTTAAACACTCACGAACTACATATGCACGTGTTTCTCAATAATACATATATCCTGAATCGACTAACTGTTCTACAGGTGGGCACACGTATAAAAGCAACGGGCTTATGAAGTTTCTGAAAGTCAGACAGCCTTGACATTGACCACCACACGTCATTGAAGACATTTCATTGCGCAATTCACCGCGAAAATTATTTAGTTTCATTACCGTAATTGATGATTTCACATTCATGCAATGACGCGACGTTTATCTATATTTTCCTATCGTATTCCTATGAGAATCGTCAAATGATATAATTAAATATCGCGTAATTTTATTTATTAAAACAGGATAGTTCGATCTCGAATCAAGACAGAGTCGCCTAATTTTCAAAGCGAAGATGAGAAGTTCTAAAAGTCGCATTAATAATTTCTATAAAATTGCAACAATAAAAAAATTGCGTTATATTGAATTGAAATGTGTAAAAGGTCATGTAGTAGAATATGAGAATAATATTATATTTCTAATGAAAATACTAAGCTACTGTATACTTCTATTTTAAACCCCGTGTATCATAAATAATCCGCCATATCAATATTTTGATATCTCACTTCCTTTTTGGTAATGCAATTTTAATGACCAGCAGTGTACACGTCGACTATTCTATTTTTTACAATATTTCAGAAATTACTACGAGCAAAATGGAATTTTTTTTCCTACATATAATAAAGACAGTATTAGACTTGTCGGACTTAGATAGTGAGAGTTTTATCTCTGACGTTGACGTGTACATCAAAGTACACATCGATTGTACTTATCCATTTCATCTACGAATGAAACGAACGCAAACGTTCACCTGTGATGAGTATCGCGGCTGTAAAAAAGAGTAGCTTGCTACATATATATATATATATATATAAAAAAAGATATATATATATATATATAACATTTGTCATTGGTTAGATATAATTAATCAGATAAGGGCACAGCACAAAAGTCCCATCGCAGAGCAAATGATACGTTCAAAATGGAACTGTAATGTCATGCAATAAATAAAAATATACTTCTTGTGTACACGTGTTGTTATATTTATCTGAACACGCAAATTTATCCGATCGCAACGATATGCACATTATACCTATTATTCGTATGTTTAAGCTATTTAAGGAAAGATCATTGGACACATGCACTTAACTAAATAAAATATTATTGCTCCTTTTTCATACGCAAGCTTAAAGACTTGTATAACAATATTTACAATATCCATTTCAATGTTCCATTAATGTAGATTAACTTTTAATGTTCCGGTTTTTTATGCGATGGATTGTTTGTGTCCCACGTTAATTTTAACTTTTACAAGAATACTAAGGTTATTAAGAAATTCTTACACGTACTTTAACATCTTTTGAAAATATTTGTAAAGTTGTGTATTAAAAATAAGGAAAGATTTTCAAACAAGTGTTTTTAGCTTCCTGGTTCTATTATATAAAACTGCATAATGCGTTTAAAATATTATTTCATCAACAAATGTTGTTATGTATTCACATGCGATCTTAAAAGATACTTTGTTTGATAATATATCATTTTATCCTTATCATTTAATATTCGGTACGCAACAAGGGTAAAATAATTACGCGTATCATGTATTTGCAGAACGCAGTTAATATTTAAAAAAAAAAAAAAGAAATACGCAGAACACGAATGACCTAATTGTGTATACTAAACACTGAGGAAAAAGTTTGGTATTTGTGACCACAATGCATGACAAAACAATTATGGTTATAAATTATATATTTTTATTATTATTGCTATAATGTCAGTAATAATAACTATAATATATGTATAGTTCTCTCAGCATAAAAAATTGTATTGCAAATTATAATTTTAAATATTAATATAATAAAATAATCAAGATATAAATGACAAATAAAATAAACATTTTTAAGTTAAATATTTTTTTTAATTCGCTTACTAGTCATTTGGTAACTAACAAATTAAATATGTTAAGAAAAAACTAAAGATTTTCCAGCAGTGCCAAATTGTTATTAATTTGATTAAAACAATTATAAATATTTAGTTATTCAAAAATGAGTTTAAATTATAATGATTAAATTTTATGGTAATCGCAAACACTTTTTCTTTCAATAAAGAATTAATTCTAATTTTATTATTTATACTCTTTATCTTTTTTAATTCTTAAAATTAAAGAAGGATAAGAAAAATGAATTAAACCAAAATTAATCTAAATTGATAGAAACATGAGTCATATATAAATTATATAGAACTGGTGGATGGTGCAAATATTCTAATTCTATAATATAAAAATCACTACAATGACTACTAATCACGTAGACTTCATTTTGTGTTATAAATAAGTATACGAAGGGGAAATTAGAAATTTTTATAGAATGTGAAATTATATTAATCATGAACTTTATCCCGTTATGAAAGTGTAAGTAAATAGTAGATTAAATAAATAGTAAGGAAAAATTAAAAATCTTATATAGTACGCAATTATATTAATCGTAAATTTTATCGCATATTATATAAAAATAAATATACAACAGAAATTAGAAATTTTATACAAGGCAAAATAATATTAGCCGAAAATATTGTCACGTTACTAAGATAAAAATGAGTATAAGAAAAGGAAATTAGAAATCATACTACTGAGTTCGATCATCACTTATTTAAAATTCTTTTCATCTGTCACGTTTCCAAAACGCTGCGTTTATACTGAGTTAAATGACTCCGAACATGTTAATACCTCCAATATGAAGCGTCTTATCGACACAAAAATAGCTATTTAATAATAATTTATCCGTTATGATTCACGTGGGTGCGGCGAGCCCTTACTTAATCCATTACTCTCCAAGCCAATGAACCCCTTATTAAATTATTGACCAACAGTAAATCGGAAGCCAATCAAGCGGAAAATAAATTGACGCTTTCTCCGAGCCGGGGATTCCTCCTACTAAATATACATATATATTTATTAAAATCGTTATTTCCAGTTAACATCTTTCTAATTATAAGTTTGTTTCTAATTGAGATTCTATAATTATACATCAGACGGGCGGGATATATCGTTTGCGGTTTCGTGACTTTTCCTTCACGTCTCTCGTTTGCGAATGACAGACGCAATTATCGTTTCTCTCATACTCACTCGTAGCAAAGGCACATGTTCCAGACACTAGTCGACGGCCCTCGCGGTGCCTCGTCGCTTCATCAACGAGTACGCACACGGCACATCGTGATTCTTCGCTGCCGTGATTCCCGTGAGCTCTACGCGTAGTCTCGTGAGGCGGTGTCACATTATTTTTTCGCGCTCGACATAGTGCTCCTGCTGACGAGACACTTTTCAAACAGGATAGCCCCGGACAGGGCACCTGTCACAATGAAGTTAAAAGCGCTAAACGCATGTCCACTGGCCGCTTCCAGGATCGATATTACAGAGGCGTAACGCGAGATATAAACTGCGGCATGCGGTGCATGCTCGCTGCAAAGTGCAAATCCGTCTCTCTCTCTGTCCCTCTCTCTCATTTTTTTCACAGCCTCGCTGAGTGAGATAATTTTACACTCATCTGTGTTGCGTAATCCATCAGATTAAAGCAAATTGTCTTGTTATTCGAGGGAGCGCGTGGTATTATAATAATTCGCTTACGATATAATGTCCAGTTTTTTATTTAATAAATATATATATACATCTGCACACAAAAGATAATTATTTTTTGATAAATATATAATATCTATCTAAATATAAAGTATATATCTATTTCATTTCAAGTTCGAAAATTTTTGAGGATTTCAAATGTAACGCATCTTTTAAGATGCGATCGTCGAGTTACCGCTACGAATGCTTCAAAGCATTTTTTTATTGATCATTTAATAAAAGTTTTTCTTTCAATTGGTCCGCAATCAAATGCTTCGAAGAATTCATATAGCGACAACTCATCACATCTAAGGTTTCGCTATAAATGCTTTAAAGAATTTGATGGCTCAATCAAAAGAATTTTAAATTGACAAATTAAAAAAATCGCTTTAAATTACTTTAAAGCATTTGTAGTATCGCGTTGGCCCATGGTGCGTTTACAGCCAGAGCATAACAATTTTGCAACCAATCGTTTTATAATTGTCTGCTGAGGTAGGACACCATTCTTTTAGATCTAAAAGTATGATCCAATTGGAGCAAAGAAAAATAAATAGCTACGAAAAAGCAACTTTGCAACAACGCAACAAATAATGTTCTGCTGAACGCAGCCAATCAGAATGTTTTCTCGTTTTCTGAGACAAACTGAGTTTAGTTCTCACGTTGGCAATCATGACAATTGTTAATTATTGATTAGCACATATATATATATATATATATTTGTACATTATGGATTAGCATTAATCGGAGTTGGTAAGAGGCCCTAAAAATGAACGCCAATATGAAAAAATCGAGAAGATCACAGTAAGTAAAGTCACTCAAATTTCTCCTGGACATTACATAAGATATAGGGAAACACTGAAGTGGGAATTTGAACACACCTCTGCAATCTGATAAGGCGCATGCGCCGATTGGCCGGTACTGTGATGACACGTGAAGCACTGAAACGTGAAGTAAACGCGCATGTAAACATGACAGTCGAGATCAACAGAAATCAACAGATAGAACAGACGAGATAGAACAATTGCCAGAGGAAAATTCACTGTTTATCGACTCTCTGAGGTCGACCTTAGAAAAAATCCAATGCCGCTCGGCAGCAAACCGAAATGCGTCAGGTGCGGGACATATGAGACTCCTCTATGGCACTCGACTGACGCTGGAAATTTGTGCAACGCTTGTTTAGAGGACGAACGAAATGCCGAAGCGAGCGCGTCTTCTAAGACGGACGAGGAGGATAAGAGCGGCTCGCTGAAGCCTAGGAGGAGCACGCGGATCACAAGATATTGCAACACAAAAGTGACAGGGTCGCACAGAATTGTGCCCAAGGGTAAAGGTCGCAGGAACCTGTTTAAGAAAACGGTGAGCGAATGGAAGATATCCTTTTATTTTTGCCACGAAATGTGCCAATGTGGCAGGAAATGTTTTCCAACAGAAAATGTAGGATGCGCTCCGTCTTCACGCTTGACGAACGATTTTTATAAGTGCTGTAAATTAGAACACATCCTGGTATAACACAGTGAACCATTATATCCTTGTTGCCAATGTTAAATAAAGATGAAATAATAACTGTGTCTCTCACTGGTAAGCAGCAATGGATGACACAGTATAATTTATAGACTTTCCATTTATTAATACAAGTCGACACAAATTGTCCCTATTACTCAATTAAATATCAAAAAATATATATTTTTTATTTGATAGATAGAGATTTGTGTCACAGAAAGCATTCACTGTGATTATCATCTTTATAATATTGATAAACAAGGTTAATGATTCACTCTGTGTTATATTGTATCATCTGTTTTTCTTGCTGGAGAAAATATTCAGAATCTCGTAGAAATATGTGGAAATGTCATATAACTGAGTATCATGGAACAAAGTCTGAATGGATTCTGATCAGAATTATTTCATTTTCCCTAAAAAAACACAATAGAAATCTAGGGAACAATTCTGATAATTGAACAATTCTGATTGGAATCTATTCTGACTTTGTTCCATGATAGGTATCCTGCTTTATGTTTAACTGTTTACTTGCAGCCAGTCAAGGCACCTACAGCTACTGCAACTCCAGTCACCAGCAACTTTGTATTTTACAAGGGCACTTATTTTCAAGTCGGAGATGTAGTTTCCCTACAAGATATAGATGGTGGTACTTATTATGCTCAGATACGTGGTTTATTGACAGACCAATATTGTGAAAAGAGCGCTGCCATTACATGGTTATTACCTACCACAGCAAGGTGAGGTTCCTTGTTCCATTAACTTCATCAGATTATAGTTTTGTAAAATATTTATCAATACGTGTTTTTTTTTTTTTAACTGAACTTCTTGCATAGTTCATCTTTTCTCTTTTCCTTTTCACGGAGAGAAAAAAGAAAAAAATGAACTGTGCAAGAAATCCAGCTAAAAAGAATAAACTTAACTGATGTACCTTTTAGTCCTCCACCAGAAGAAGGTTTCATTCCTGAGACATATTTAATTGGACCAGAAGAAGATTTACCTCGTAAATTAGAGTGCATGGAATTTGTAATGCACGCTCCATCGGATTATTTTAAATTAAAGAACAGCCCCTATCCACCTTCTCTCACAGAGAAGGGAGCAGGCTTTATATGGACGACTCTTAGAAATGAATTGGCCATATCTAAAAAGTAATAATAATTCTTTATTGGGAACATGTATTGTTACTCAGACAACACAAAGTCCAAAAAAAAATATTTTACCTCAATTTTGGTCTTTGTATTGTTTGGGCCGGTATTGCTTTGAACTTAAAATAATAAGATAATTTTTACATACAAGTCACTTTATAGTTTTTTTAAATAATTTTTTTAATTTCATGTATTATTATTTAAATTAGATGATATTAGAATTATAGGATTGTAAAGAAGTCGCAAAGGTTGACATGAAGAAAATATGATATATTTTAAATGTGTATTACTGTACATAATATACAAATAATTTTGCAAAAAACAATACACCTTTACAATAGTGCTATTGTATTTATTATATATATATATATATAAATATATTTTCATTACAATGTAACATTAATGCATTTCAGTGAATAACTGTAGACATGTCTTTCTTACATGTAATGGAACACTGAGCTAGACTACTAGACACTAGACAGTCGAAAAGTTGCCAATACTATAGCTGAATTTGTAGACCTGATATTTTTTTAATATCTCTCTTATCATATAAAAAATTTAAGAAACATCTTGTTTAGTTTCTATTTTTGTTTAGAAATTCTTCGTAATTAGTTTTTCTCGTAGTTCGTATTTTCTTACCAGAAGAACCGTGACTCAAAAAAGATAGTGGTTCATCCGTGGTCTTTAACTCTGGTATCGTTGAGACGGGATATACGCAGAGGTAGCAGGCAGCATTGGTGCATTCTCGCTTGCTTGAAGGGAGGGAAAACGTGTCCTCGGTGCAACGGTGGTGTCGATTACATTCGGGATGACAGAAGAGACCAGTCAGCTGGGTGCCAACGATGTAACGGCTGGTCAGAATTTGAGGTCTTTTATAGCTTGCGGCAAGTCAGGCAGTTTCATATCCTTTATTTGTTGCGGTATATTCATGTTCTTCACGGCCGAGACAGCACGCGCGGGCGCTGCTGTGATTCCCGCCTGCACACATTATACGGATCGAAGAAGTGTGGAGAATGGACAAGTTTGAGGAGAGTTCAGTAAATGTAAGGGCTGTAATTTTAGCTACAGGGAGCGAAGGCAAATGACGGATGACAACACGGCGTTGACGACATTTATTATTTTTACAAAGCGACATTTACATCATGAAGGCACTCGGTTTATGCAGTGGACATGAATTACAAAACAAAATTGCATCGCCATGCGTGTTACGCAAACGCTTACGCTTTATAAAGCTAAATACAAAGGACTTGGCGCTTTCTTGGATAAAATATAAAAAAAAGAAAAAATAAAAAGAATGAATGCGCACAGAAGTACGGTTGTACAAAGTGGCCTGATTTGCTACTGTCGATTTACTTAAGGAGGGGGTCCCAGAAGGACAAACGGACGGGGTGAGCAAGACCGCCCAGATTTGTAAGTCCCCTAAAATTGATGTTATGTCAATCAGTCCCACCTGCCACCATATCAAATATGTTCTACAGATCGCTGTACCAGTATGCATGCATAGCTCAACAGACTGCTTTGATAGTTAATGTATTTAAGCTCAGTGGCAAAAAATAAACACATTGCAAAATTGGCCATACTAGCTTGAAACATATAAGCGCTCTATCTAATGAAATGGCATGAGAATTTGGATGTAAAAAAAAATTCTAAAAGTTTATAAATACATTGTGAGCACAGATTAAAATAATCCTGTGATCTTGCCACAGTTTTATTATATTTCTAATGTGAAATTTATTCTTTTTATCTAAATTTCTTGTATCGGATTTATCGTTACTTCTCTCTTTATGTTGGATAAAAAGGAAATGATAAACACAGTGGAAGAAGTTCAGCTAAATAGAACAAGGGCTTATTCAATAATCTAAATCAAGGATACAAATTCACAGGAAATAAGATCAGAGTTAAGATAACATTAAGATATTTAGGATCTTAAGCACAATCTGTACTTACCTCTTGTTTTTCCAATTTATTCTGATCTTCAATCCTCGTGAGAATCTCAGTCATGTTAGTCTCGAGGACCATACCACCCATTACCAACTCGTTAAGTATGTAATGAACTTTGTCCACGTGAAATATAAGATCAAGTTCACACACATTCTCAAAACATTTGTCCAAGGTTTCGACGAAGACTTGTATCAGGTCTAAGATTCCCAACTCTGATTCTGAGCTATCAACGCAGAATACAAAGTAAAGCGTTGCGTAGTGTCGATAGATCAGCTTGTAGTCAGATCCACCGATCAAGCTGCCACCCTCCAAGAAATTACACACGTTGTCATCTCTCTTCGAGACGAGCTGAAATGTCTCTTTTATTATCTGCTGCTGCATATCCTCGTTCTGAAGCAGAAAATGCACCCTTGTATTATAACAATCCATATGTTTTTGTGCTCCTATTGTGTTCTATATAAATATGATTTACACGATAGATATATCGACGTAGAAATTACGCCGCGTATTGCCTCTAATATCAGTTTTATTATATCTCAGTAAATAAAAGGATTTTTTTTAATTCACAGTTTATGAGTGATAAGCAGAAGAGAAGTGCAAAACGAGCAACATTGAGATATACTTACAAAGTACTGATAAAACTTAGAGAGACGAGGTTTCCCATGATTATTAAAGACTAGGATCGCCTTAATCATGTTTGTGAATCCGAAGTCAATTGGTGTCGCTTGATCTTATATTAATCCTGTCACTACTCTATGTTCGAAGCGCAGTCATTGGGACGCGAGAGGTTATGTTCTACGACCGCAACTGTGCTCCGATGTTTTAATTCTCATTATTTTTCTTTGGCAAGTTGGAAATTCTTCGTAATATCCGCTAATTGATATAATTAATTGAGCGTGGAGATAAACTCTTGGAGGTTAATGATCAACAGTTGTCAACGCATTTGTCAGTGAGGTGGATTTAAAAGAATTTACTTGACTACTTGTACTTCGCCTGCACTCTCTGATACTTTCTGTACTTAAAATGAAGCGGATTAAAATTAAAATGAAATGCATTCAGGAACGTAAAAGAACAGCGAGGGATAAATAAGTGATCGAGGCATTCTGAATCCGTGAAAAATTCGTACGTCTTCTTTGTGTTTAAAACTTTTTCTCTTCTCAAAAAAAACAAAAACAACATTTAAACGACAATTATAACTTTAATTATCAAATAATAGTTTTAATTATTTTACATTTTGTTACATTGATATTATATATAATATATATATAATATATACAATATATTATATACAATATATATTGTATAATATGGATGAGTTTTTAAACTTTTTATTATTTAAAAAAGCTAAAAAAAATTAGTACACATGCATATGAAAAGGAATATTAAATTAAAGACATTAAATTAAGCCAGCGGTACAAACATTAGACTTAATTGTTTTCTTGCCCTGCAGTATCCGAAAAGGGATTGAAGTAGATTGAAAATTTTTTATGTATTTTAATTTATTTGAATCAAAATTCTTGATTTATGCTTGATATATTTCTATTTATAGATAAAAAGGAATTGAATGTAGTAAAATTGAATATTTTTCTATATGGATAGAAAATCTTTATGCATGTTGAAGTAAAAATGTATAACTTTGTACCTGTGTCACAAATGAAAATAAATTCATAATTTATTTTCCGCGAAATTTTTTCTATTGGAAAGAATAAAATCACACCTATTACAGGGCCATCCCTGGATTCAAGAATTCAAGGTTCTCGAATCTGTTTTGGACTGAAAGAATAACAGTTACAATGTCAGAAATTAAAACGGATTACGTGGTTTATTTTTTTAGTGAAACTTTTTTGAAAAGAATAAAACTCACTTTCTTTCAATCTTGTATTATGGACAAAAATGGATTTAAAGTTCTCAAATCTGCATTGGATTAAACATTAAAAGAATAAGGAATTTTACGTCATTTCAATCCTATATTATGGATTAAAATAAATTGCATATTATTTTTTTTGCAAAACTTTTTTTTCGATTGAAAGGAATACAAATTCTGTAGATTCAATCTTACGTCATGGATTGCGTGTCATATTTTTTGTGTAAAACTTTTTTTCGATTGAAAGGAATATATAGGAATCTCCTCGTAGTTTCAATTCCATGTCATGGATTAAAATAGATTCAAATATTGAATGAATTAAAATGGATCCAAAAAAATCAAGAATTTGAATTCAGTAATGACCAAATGAATTTATTTCAATCTACTTCAATGTTTTCGGATACTGGGTGCTAGATTGCTAGCTGGATTAGAATCTTGCCACCGTTTTTGCGATGCTGACAGTGCCAGTATCGCAGCCAATCCGATGGCAAGAATCTGATACAGCTAGCAATCCAGCAGGAAAACAAGTATCGTATGTCGCTGGCTTTATATACGGCTAGAAATTTTGTTGTGAACTATACAGGGTGTTTCTTAAATGATCCTCATTAATCATATAGTGCTATTCCTGATAAAAATTGAGTCCAAAAGTCCTCTACCATTTTGCAATTTTCGCAAACTTTTTTAGTTATCCAATAAGCAAAATGTCTAAAATCGACGCATGTACGACAACTTTGAAATATCTTTAAGAGTTCTTTAAGAAACATCTTTAAAATATTTTACAAAGAACACTCTGCGAGATATCTTAAAATTGTCTTATGCATCGATTTTATCCGTTTATTGATCAATCTTTAGTAATTAATATAGTCGTTATAACTATTGTGAAAATTTTGCAAAATTGTAGAAACACTATATGATTAGTATTTAAGAAACACCTTGTATATTACTGATAAATTACATCAATGATTCAAATAAAAATTATAAATTTTTTATTATTTAATAATATATAGAAGGAAAGATTACATTTAAAAAAACGAATTATAGTTATATTATTGGAAATTCAATTTTTAACAATTTCGATTAATGAAATTAGCAATTATAATGATTAACCAGCATTCAAGAATTGTTTAAAGCTATTTCAAACTATAATTCATTTCCTAATCTAATCTTTATCTTCTATATATTAAACAACAAATAATTAACAACTCCTTCACATTAAATTAAATATAATATTACTTACTATAATCGCTTATAATTGCCAATTTTAATTGGAATTTAAGCAAATCTATTTCTACAAATAAAGATTAGCTTATAATTTCTGTTGACTTTTTATCTTCTTCTAGTTCTTATATAGAATATTAGAAAAAAGATGAAATTATAAGATAAATAACGACCGGCAACAACTGATACAGAAAGATCAAATTTTGTTTACAATGGGTATATATGCTTCATGAAGACCTTCCGTGTCTAAGTTCTATGTTAATTTTCAACTGATAAAAACTGTAAGTCAAATCGTCTTGCTATATTATATTTACTATATTTATTGAATGGTTAAAAAATATCTGAATATTCAAATATTTTATTTACTCGTCTTGTGGTCGTCGATATTCTATTCTGCGAATAAGCGTTATCTTATATATTATTATTTTTTATAAAAAAAGTTAAATAAAAGGTGCGCCCTAAGTGGACCGCACCCTAGAATAAAAAAAAAATAAAAGTAAAAACTAATCTAATCTAATAAACTGTAGCCACTCTAGATTCATAGAAACACACGTGTATCAGTTTCGTCGCCTTCCTGAGCGCGTTAAAAAGGAGAAAACGGAGCGCTCGAAGGTGCAGAAACTGCAGAAAGTGCGAACGAAGAACAAAGCCCACTTCATCGCGACATTCGCGACCGGTTACTCGCGCTTCTCGTCTCCTCTATCCTTCGTCGCGGAGTGGCGTTCGGTTCGGCTCGATCTGTTGTCGAGTCAAGAAGTCGGCTGAGTCGGCTCGCGAGACGATGGAAAGGTGGACAGCGCTCCATAAAGGTAGTCTCGGAGCAGTGCACGATGATGCGGTATAAGAATGTAAGCGTATTCGCTTCGTTCAGACGTAGGTTCGCGGCCACCTCGAGCCTGTGTGTATTCGAGTGCTGTAACACAGTACATGGTTATAAAGCATAAGTAAGCCAGGAGAGGGAAATTCGCGCGACGAAGAAAACGAGAATTGCCAGGCCCGATGGGTCGTTCGCCTGGAGTAATCTGCACTCCTTGCGTTTCCTGTCGTTCGGAGTGAAGTAAGAAACGTGATCCATAGAAAAGAGGAGACATTAACCGATCTCCAATCGGACGATTGTGCATCGATGCAATTGTGTCACGTCGCAGTTAACTGCAATTCCACCTGATTTCATCATTTCTATTGTCGTTCGTATTGAGTACAGCTGGATGTTATTATTGCGATTTGAAAATAAGGAAGAGGAAGTTTAATTTTTCTGTGTCGTGTGTGCGATAGTAATTCAACACGAGTTAAAGCAATTTACGAAGATCATATCTTTTTAATCGCTTTAACAGCCTTTTAATTGCTAAATGATATCAACGAAACGATAGTATAGAATAGAATAGAGAATAGAAATTTATTCACTTCAGCATACATAGCCAAGAAGGGGACTTGGTTTACATAAAAAATACCTATTGCACACATTCATCCATACCTTCTATGTTCGCTTCGCACGCTCCACCTGGAGCATACTCTATACTCTATACACAGCCATATACTATCACAGAGTTTGCGCTTAAATCACAAATTCATGCCGCCTACCTATCTTAATATCTAAGTGACTAAATACTAATTGTCTCACCTCACAGTTCCCGCTCTTTATACACTACTTTCACATACATCCATACTCTTATACCTGTACACGCCTACCTATACCTCCATTATTCAGTCTTAAATTTCTTTTTCCTCACCCTCTACACCTTTCTTTAGATCCCTATTTCTGAGTACCTTCTCCCTCTCTTTCCAGAGTTTATCCAGTATCCTACCTTTCGTTAACGAAACGATAGTATCGATAATTCAGAGTAGCAGCAAGTACGATATAATTATTGCGGGTGATTACACTTCCGTATATCTTATCGAAAATCAAAATCAAGTTTACGTATCTAACCGTAATCGTGCTGTCTGAGAAGATTACGGCAACATCAGAAGCAGTCAGAAGCCAGTGAGCTCGCGCATAAGTGGTCACACATACACACCTGACTTCCTATTCCTCGCGACGTCGTGTGCGACCGGTGTGCGACAGCACGGACGTGAGAGGGGACGTCGGGGTCAAATGGGATCCAATGGGATCCTTTCTTTTGCTTACCGTGTCTACCCGTGGACTCAGTGGTACTCGCCTGCACATTTTTCGCGGCGCGCGATGTTCCGATGAACCGAGTTGTCATTCCACGCGGACAAGGTAAATGGAGAGACGCCAAATGCGGTGTGATCAGGCAGTCATCGCGGCCACAAGGTGAGCACTTAATTGTTTACGCATATCTTGTTCTTCTGGGGTAACACACTGTAAAACGCGACGGATATAAAACCCCGACCGCGGAACCAGCGCGGTCGGGTCGAGAAGCACTGTCCTTTTTGCGATTGGATCACGTATATTTTTGACGTTGTGAGATATATACGCGATACCCGCGAATTATTATTAGATCACGTTCACCTGACCGATGGTTCCTCAGAGTCGCGTTCGAAGACACTTTCGGAGTGCCTCCGAGTATCATTTTATCCTTGCTTAACAGTCGGTGATCAATAAGGATAAAACGATACTCAAAGGTACTCGGATAATGTTTACAAACACAACCTTGGCACGCCAAGGACTAGCCTATTATTGTTCCTTAATAAGAAAACGTGATAGAACAACATGGGAATCATATATATATATATATATTTTTATATAATGTCAATATGGTTTTTCATAATTAAGCAAGTATTGACAATATAGTTAGGAATGCTTGTGATATGAAAGAAAGAGTTAAAACTGTAGGAGAAGGCTTTATAATTGGTTCTATTACTATTCTTTTAAATGTTTGAAATTAGATCTAGAGCAAAAAAAGATGAATGTGTTTATGCCACTGCATACATAACTGGTTATTGATAAGAATGATGGTAAGGTACTGCCAACCAATGGCGTTCACTAGCATAAGAGGTAACATATCTTTTTTAATGGCCTTTGTAATGGCAGTTGCACCAGTGGTAGCAATTGTATTAGTAAAATTTCAACTACTCAATTAAAGATGGCGTTTTTGCCTGTACCTTAAACAAAAATGTTATAAATAAATTAGATAGAGATAAATGTGCTTAAAAGATATGTAACACATGCATGCTGGGAAGTAATGAATTATGTGAATTTTATTACCAATTCATTACCAATTCGATTGTTAAGGGACAAGGTAAATCATAATCAATTGCAAACATACGCACACACACGGATTGTGTTTTAAAGCTGATAGCATTCTCGTGAAACTGATTAGTTTACATGCAATTGTAATCAAATGTACTTCAGTATACAGGAAGGTTTCTTATTCGCATGTTTAGATTGTTCCATACATTTCAATTTTTATACTAATAATATTTAATACTTTTTGGAGAATTAATATAAGATATTTATTCTTTCTCTTTGTATAGATGGAAAGATCACGACAACTACCCAAGGATTTACCTGCAATCACTGTCAACAATAATGGCAGTGTTAAAGGCAAGGCATCTTTTGTTCGACGACTGGCAATAGGATTTGTGATTCTGGCCATATTAGGCCTCTTATATGTGCCAGCGTATCACTCTGCTCAGAGTCCGTTCTTAAATTTAGGTGAAACTCCATCCCCTACAGAACTTCTTGGCAGTTCACGCTCTGCTGCATCCATGGGTATGTATCTATTGTTTTATATTCTTTACAATAGTATAATTTTAGAGGAAGCTTTAAGATATAGTTACATTATAGTTATATAAATATGTATTAAATGTTAAAAAACAAAGACTAGATGTATTTTTACAATGTAATATAAGACAGTAATAGTATTAAAATAATAGAGAGAAATTATGAATATAAAACAGAAATAATGAATATAAAACAGAAAATACAAAAACATCGAAAGATATATGTGTGAAACTGCATTAAAATGATATCATACTCTAATTGAATGATTGAGCGTGAATAATGTTTAAAGAATAACGTTGGTTTTTTGTTAACATTATTTAACAGAAGCTAATACAAATATTTAATTTATAGCACAATTACCTGGATGGTCGTACAATACATCAAGAGATCTCTATGTTTATATTCATCCAGAGAATAATACATCGATTCTCAGTCCTACCGGCATCTGTTTATTACCGCCATACCTGCTTATAATTATATGCTCGGCAGTCGCTAACCAAGAAGCCCGTATCGCTATTAGGAGTACTTGGGCCAATAAATATATCTTAAATAATTTGTACAATTCTACAGTAAAAATAGCGTTTTTACTAGGAAAAAGTGACAATGATACACTTAACGTAATTATACTCAGTAGTGTTATTATTACATAGAAAATTACTTTTGCAGCATCTATATTTCTAAATTTATTACTTTTTTCTAGCACTTAATTGTTGAGGAAAGTTTTCAGTATAATGATATCGTGCAAGAACGTTTTTTTGATACATATAACAATTTGACACTGAAATCAGTCATGATGCTGAAATGGGTAACGTCGAATTGTGATCAAGCTAAATACCTCATGAAAACGGACGACGACATGTTTGTAAATATTCCCTTGCTTCTACAAACGCTGCATTCAAGAACACAATCGGAGACTCTTCTAGGTTCCCTCATTTGTAATGCTAAACCAATACTAGATCCTAAAAACAAATGGCAAGTATCCTTTCTGTCTGTATTTAGCAAGATATTATAGAAAATTAATTTAATATGGCAATAATTTTAATTACGTAGGTATACACCCAAGTATATGTACTCGGAGAAAACATATCCAAATTATTTATCAGGTACAGGGTATGTAATGAGTATGGGTGCGGCGTCTAAATTATATCAAGCAGCGTTAGTAACACCGTTGCTACACTTGGAGGACGTTTATGTCACAGGTTTATGCGCAAAACGCGCAAAAGTCCGGCCCGTGAACCATCCTGCATTCAGTTATTCACCTCGCAAATTAGATCCTTGCATTCTCAAGAACGCAATTACTACGCATAAGGTTAATGCGTCCAATATGTATGTGATTTGGGTTAAAATGAATAACACGAGTGTTCCGTGCACCAATCGTACTCGCATTGATAGAAAACCGATCACGTTGAGCAGAAGCGGTAGGAATGCTGGCTATTATGTCTTTAAAAGAAAAGCTATAAGTAAGTGCGTTTAAATATACGTTTTATAACGTTGATTCCTCATATTATAAGACTAATTTTTATCGAGCTTTTTTCTAAGCGCGAGTGGAATCAAATAGATAAGAAGAAAATTAAGGTATGAATTTCTAAAAATTTTAAGGCTTTTTTTATTCTTCTTATGGAACTAATTATTTATTTATAAATCTATTTACAAACATCGAAATATTGTTGGTTGTTTTTCATCATTTATGCAAATTGTTGATTTTATTATAAAAAATTTAAGTGATAGAATCTTCTCGATGAATTTTCGCAAATCTTCGATTCTATTAGGCTGTGTCCAATTTCCATTATTAATTTACGTTTAATGTTAAGTTTTTAAATTTTGTAAGACTATAGCCAATTTGCACCAAACGTTTATTGGTTAATGATTTAGTATTTTTTACGAATTATAATTTGACAAATAATAAACGGAAATGAAAAATTTTATTGATTAGTACATATGTTTTATGTTGATGTTATCTAACATCGGTGCAATTGGTATAATACGTGGAGTGATTGTGATAAACGACACTCGAAGGTTTTGTATATTTTTCTATTTAAACCAAAGTAGTATTTAAGGATACACTGTCAATTAGATCTTTTACATAATTTACTTTATCTTTTTTTGACTTTTTCTGTAAGACGTGACAAGAAAACGACAATAGGAAGAAGAGTATTATTATGGACTGTTTTTCCGAATGTTAAACTTCTTGCTTGACACTTCCTAATGACAATTATTTATATATGTAATGTAAAAAATTGTCTGCGTGATATAATTTTGTTAATATTCTATATTATAGTTGAATATCTTGTAAACGGAGATCACATGGAAGCAAAACTTCTCTTTATTTTAATACAAATATAATGCTGTTGCTTCCACATACTTACGCCAAGCTATTTATATGGGAATAGTATTATATTATTAATCTATTTCCAAAATTTCTTAAATAGTCTTGTTTCTTAAGAGAGAGCACATATAATATACAAATTAAATACGAAAAAAATTGCTTCCTTAATTTAGTAATATAAGATATAGATATTGTTTTCTATTTAAACAACAAAAATGGCTTGTGCTAATAACGTAATCTCAAGATTCCGTCTCTTATTATATTCGTAAATCACATTGATATTTTAAAAATTCATTGGTATTTCAATTAAAGTAAAACAATTATAAATAATATTATGTAAAAATATTATTTTAGTTATATTTTGATTCACTTTATATATTTATTTCATATAATTGAAAAAAATCTAATTATACGTTTAAATGAAGTTGTTAATTTTGTAAAAACGTAATGTATTTATTGTGTATATTTTTTAGGACACATACACATAAAATATAATTGTTAAATTATATTTGTTCGAAATATATTTTATAAATATAATAAATAATGCTATAAGAGCCAACACAGGATGTAAGTGTGTGAAATATAATTTATTAAATTAGTATAACGTATACGAGCAGATGCGTTAAAGTATGGATGTCTGAACATAGAAATCATATTAATAGAAACACTGCTCAATCATCGATAATTACTAAACATAGAATACGAACATCTCGTGATTTTGATTGGGACAATATTAAGATTTTAGACTAACAAAGTTTCATTACCATTTTGTGTTTTGAATCGTTGACAACGTTTCAATCTTATCTGTCATGTAAGTTATATAAAATTGTTATGTAACTCTAATCTTAGTAGTAGTAGTAACTAATGTGGGCTTTTTCAGCCTTCAAACGTGACCTAGATCCATGAGGTTCCATTGTTACTCCCTGTTTGTTCCGTAGATCATTCAGTCAAGCCCATCCTCTTATCGTTTGCCAGGCTTATTAAGCTGTTGACCTTCGCATCTTCTAGATCCTTGGGTGTTATAAACATATGTCCCCAAGATCTGTATCTTTTGCAAGCGAGTGCAGGGCAGCGGCACAGTAGGTGCAGGCTGTCCTCGCTTTCTTCTCCACATAGCCGGCATTCTTTCTGCTTCGCTAGTCCTAGGTTAAATAGATGTGCTCTGAGGGACATGTGTCAAGAGGCCTATACCGCTTCCCAGTTTTGCTTTTCCCATTGCCAACAGTTCTCTAGTTCTTGTTGGTTTGGGATGTCTCATGAGTTGTTTGGTTTGTTGATGAAACTCGAAACCTAAAATGGGTTCACTTTTATTTTACGGAGCGGAGTTTTTATATCTTACTAATAAATTGTAATTATTTTTATATTAATAAATTGTATTTCACACACTCACATCTTGTGTTGGCTCTTATAAGCGTTACTCATTATATTTAAATTTTTATCTTTTGAGCCTTCTATTAATAATTAATATATTTTATAATTATATTTTCTCTTCTGTGTCCTTAAAAGGTGATGTGCAAGATTCAAAACAATCTGTGCATTTAAGTCAAATTTTATATTGATAAAATTAATAATTATATGAATATAAATATCTATTTTTTACATGCATTTTAAATAGATAAAAACAAACTCTTGTTTTCTAAAATTTTAATATCTACTGTTCTCTATATTCAAAAATTTAAATATTTTATATGTGTGTACTTTTTAGTATTATTTCTTATATTAGAATAAGATAAATTTTATATGTTTATGTATAAAACAATTTATATATTTATTGCAACAGATTTTCTTTCAAAAGGAAAAACGTTTTAAGATCAGAACTGGGCATGTATTTGAAATACTTTTATATGAAAAACGATATTTGTAAAACATTTGTATCTTGTATTTTGTACTTCATGTGCAAAGCACATGAAAATGTTTCGTATTTTATATTTAATAGTAATATATAAAAATATTTTGTACTTTGTATTTTAGTATTAAGGCTCCTGAGTACTCAGCCAAGAACTCCGTGTTGATGGTAGCGACACCGAATTAGTCGGCGGTCTGGCAAAACTGGTAGTTACACACACGAGTACGAGTTCATGTCGTGTGCTCATTTTTGGTAACAAAGGCGAGCACACAGCATAGGCTCATGCTTGTGTGTGTGTTTCGCCACGGTAAAAGACTGAATTAATAGGCGTGAAAAAGTGACAAAATTTTTGTTGCTTGCCATTTCCTTAATATTTGCTTATTTGTGAAAATGTGACTTGCCTCGTACTCATGAAAGTCCCAAAAATGGGAGCAAACTACAGTTATCTTGTAATTGTATACGTAAAAGCGTATTTCACTCGTTTCATCAGCTGTTAAACTGTGTGTTTTTGCTTGAGTATAGGCTCACTTTAAGTGTTCTTTACGACCATTTAATGACAGTTAAAGGAAGAAAGGACATTTTCACCCATTTTTACAAGCGTTTTTAAGCGATCTCGTCATTTACATTTATCTAAATTGTCTTTATTTACAAATGGCATACAACAAAAATTAATTTGCATTTCTCGCCTATGACGTCACAAGTCCAACATGGCCATCGCGACTACTCAAGATTGAAAGTATTTTATATTTCATATTTCAAATACTAAGATTGACAAAATTAATTTATTATTTACCTTTTGATTTTTATTATTTAAATTATGAAATACATGAATGTTTCAACATTTCAATTTTAAATACAAAATACATAATATTTTCATGTGCTTCACTGAAATATAAAATATATTTTTATTACAAAAACTGTGTTTTAAATCAAAGTATTTCAAATACATGACAAATCCTATGTAAGATGTATAAATTATAATTATCATTAGATTCCAGCATTATATAACAAAGTGTTTATCGTGAATTAAATGAACGAACATTAAAAAATATTGTAACACGATAATTTTATTCTTTTTTCTCAAATAAATAAATACTAGATAGCATTTATAGTTTACAAGCATTATAGTCATGGATAACAGTACAATTTGAAATTCATAATGCAATCGATGTTATTCATTATATGAAAATTCATTTATTAAAACTGCATTGTAATTAAAAAAAAAAATATATATATATGTACTTGATAAAAAATAGCGATAGATAAATCATTAAGATAGATATTAAGAGCTTGATGATATAGCCTAACACTTGCTAGAATCTCCGATTTGAATTCTAATAGGGTCTTATTAATTTAGTATAAGTATAATCCGAAATTTGTAATACACCGCGTATATCATTTTATGTCACATATCAGAATGATTAAGAAACTGAGATAGCAAAGAAGTTGCGAATAGTAAAATCGTTGTATGCTTCAAAATTGATATATTCTTTAATCCATGACGACGAGACGTTTGTAACTTAAAGTGAAGATGATTGAAATGAATTCTATGGAATACCCTAGTGGCCTTAGAAAATTTATTTTATTTTATAAGAATAGATTTGACGCTAAATTTTTTACCACTAGTCTTTGCTAAGTCATCATAATACTTGGTGCTATCTTAATGCGAGTGTTGGCGAATTGTAATAAACTTATTGAAATATATAAATTTGCAAAAAATACATATTACACGAATGTAATACAATGTACCATCATTTTACAACTTCTATCATTTTTACATGAAATATAAGTCAGCCATCATGAAAGATACATCTCTTCCTTTTCGAGATTCATAAATTTTGATGATCGTATATGGAAGAAATTAGATACATCATTTTATATCATGCTACAGTACCAATATGTTATTTACATCTCTGCGAAAGCATTTCTAATCGCCTTTAGAAAAGAACATCGATTTGTACATTCGTCTAAACATATGTACATACATACATACAACAGGAATTGTGCATAAGATGAATGTAAATATTGTTATGTTGCATTTCGAATAAAAAAAACAAAAGAACTTTGATGTAAATATTTATTTAAAATACATGTATCGAATAAATGTTTTATATAAAACAAATACAATACAGATATTATATTTGTTTTACTTACATAGGAACTTTATTTGTAGACGCTGATCTTAACGATATTAATTAATGAGTTTCATATTAAATGACATTGATAATTAGATATGACATACTATGACATATGTTTGTAATAATATAGATTATGTTCCAAATTCCATTGCTACGATTGAAAATTTATAATTTACATTATATATATTGTAGGTTTTGAATACTTAATCAATTGGATCACAATCTTAAAATGAAAAATAATTGTGAAACGAATTATTTTAATATAGCCTTTATTTTATCTGTCATAATTGATTTTGTTTAATAACTTTAATACAATTAATAAATTTCGCTCGTTTTTTGCAATGAAAATAAAAATAAATAAACGGTCTATTTCGAGCTAATATGGATTTAATATTGTTCTTAAACTTTATAATATAAATATAAAAACATAAGTGAAAAACTAAAGTATGTCATATGTTTCAGTACTCACAGGTCCTTCAGAAATTCTTTAGATATCTGTCGTTGGATTGATAATAATTTCTTATATGATGTGATACAGACATGCTGATATAACGATTATAGTTCGGAATTGATTTTCCTGTTCTCAATGCGAGTGTATAATGTAAAAGACATGTGAGACAGGACCATCATTACAAATTCGTTCAATCGAACGTAGATATTACAATGGTCAATTTAAATAAACATTATAAAGTTTAAAAACAATATTAAATTTATATTAGCTCGATATAGATCGTTTATTTATTTTTATTTAATACAATTGTTTTTCGAGATTAGAATGAAATGCATGAATTTACAGAATATCATTATCTGAAGACACAGCAGTGTCTAGGCGCTTATAAATATTACAATGGAAATGATACAATTTATATCGCATGAGATTATAATGATTCATCCATGATATATATGAAATATTATTAATTGTTGAAAAGGTAATCATAGATAATAATTATAGTCATTAATATTTATTTTTAATTGTATACTTTAACATTTATGAAATTTTCATATCTGTTAATTAATTATAATTCCACAAATTAAATTGGTATATTTAAGTCTGCAATTAAAAATAAAAATTTTTTTTAAACAATTGCATTTTAATACATTTTTCTAGAAAAAAAATATATATCGGTCTTACATAAAAAAAAGATTAAAAATAAAACATAAAGTGTAAATAAAAATATATTATGAAAATGATGAATAATGAGTGGATAATCCAATAAATGAGTAATAAGTAATACAATACATTAGTTTTTTTTTTTTTTTTTTTTTTTAAATATATATAATTTCCATTCATTATTACAGATTTTTTTAGTACAGTAAAATTATTACATTTTTGTAATTTATATTGTAAAAATATAAAAGCAGAAATATATATATAAGTTTATAAAGTATTCAATTTTTATTCATTCATATTTTTATAAATTTTGTTCTCTGTTATCTTTTTCTTTTTTAAACAGGTGTAGGATGATCTAGAAAAGGTATTATCAATTTCTTTTTAACGGTTTTTGTGTTTACCTTTTCAGTAAGATTAAATTTCGTTAAATTTTTTATTAAAGAATTTAATTCATTTGCTTCAATTTTCGGTTTTTGTATTTTAATTTTTCTCTTATGGTTAGGTGGATTAGGTAAATTTTTCTTTTTCTGTATTTTATTTAATTTTTGAAAGTGAAAATCGCGATTTACTTCTTTAACCGGGTAGGAATTACATTTATCTTTAGCTTTTACGTTTGAAATATCTTGATTGAATTTTTTATTTGTTTTTAAGCGAATTGTTGAAAACCTGCGATTAAACTTCTCTCTTGACTTGGTCATCCATGGTGGAGTACTGACCCATCTTGAATCTTTTTTAAATAATTTTGCCTTATCGTCTACTACAGTATTTCCGATTTGGTCTACTTTATGCTCAGTGTTATCTTCTTTAATTTGACATCTTTCCAATCCTATTGATTTCACATCTGGTGAAATAGTAAATCTCTGATGTATCAACCTTTTTCTACCATTATTACATAACATTCTACCATTATCACATAACATTGGATCTAGCCACTGTAAATGTTGACACACCAATTGGTCAGTCATTAATGTTTTATTTGTAGGAGACTTAGTAGTCCAAGAAAATAATGATTTATTTAAATTGGACAGTAATTTTAAATTCACTGTTTCTTCTTTATTTTTCTTCATCTTTTGAGACAGCTTTCTACCCATAAAGTTCTGTTTTTGATTATTATTCTCTTCTAAATTACAAGAGCTTAGTTGTTTGACTAACTTATCTATGTTTTTTTTATGTTTCTTCTTTGCAGTTTTGGGTAGGACAACATCTTTTGTATCTTCAAGACATTGCAACATGTCTGCATATTCCTCACTCAGTTCATACTCGCTTCCTTCAACTTCTGATTCTCCAGTCCTGTAGGCCATGTTCTTTTGATTGACCATAGTTTCACTTAACAGAGGGTCATTGTTTGACCATAATGCATTTAATGTAGGGTTAGTGCTTATACATGCATCTTGCTCTGCAATTTTTTCTAATTTCCTACTTGTATAATCCTGTTTCTGTCTTTGTTCAAACCAAGCTTTATGACTTAATCCAAATAAGTTTTCTGATGTATGTGTGCATGTTGGAAAGAGCTTTATATCTTCAACCTCATATGTTTCCCGGATAATAGGTTTACTTTTGAAAGCATCTATATTTTTAACAGTATTCTCACAACCATGTGATTCAATTTCAATGTTTTTAACAGTGTCATTGTTTGAGCATAATGCATTTAATGGAGGATTAGTGCTTAAACATGCATCTTGCTCTGCAATTCTTTCTAATTTCCCACTTGTATAATCCTGTTTCAGTTTTTGTTCAATCCCAGCTTTATGACTTGATTCAATTAGGTTTTTTGATATAATGCCTATATTTTTTTGCTCAAATGAGTTTTCTGATGTACGTACGTATGTTGGAATGAGCTTTATATCTTCAGCCTTATGTGTTTCCTGGACAATAGGAGGTTTATTTTTAAAAGCATCTATATTTTTAACAGTATTCCCACAAGCACGAAACTCAAATTCAAAGCTGTTCAAAGTTCGATTATATGTTTTTGTCCACCGATTATATTCTATACCCCGTTTCGTTCCGTTTTCAATAACAAATCCATCGCCTGCATTACAAAAAAAAAAAAGGTAAGCTTTTAATTTCGTTTTGTTTTCTGCCTCATATTATTGTCGCTTGATTAGCGAGTTTATATAGAATAAAAGAATATGAAGAAAGAAGGGATAATTGATGACAAAATAAATGAAGACGACGTTTCGATATTCATTGTTGCAATATATTTAACACTAAAAATGTATAGTTATGTGAACTACAGATTTTTAATACTGGCAGTAAATATCGAAACGTAGTCAAAAATTTCAAAAAGTTACATATTGTAAATTTTTCGTTGGCCAATTTCGCCATACGATGGAGAATAAAGCGTCGCACTGTTTAGACTGAAAAATTCGTACAACACCTTCTTACCGAGCAACCATGTGTGAAAATCCGACTCATATCCGAATGGATATGTAACATTTTCCATCTCTGCAGTCGTATAAAATCTTGTGTAAATTTATACGTGATTTATTACTGTGACGTTTAAACGCACGTTGCCTCGTATAGTGGGCTTTTAATCACTCTATAATATAACTATATAATCTACAGGCCAGACTCTGTATTCTGTAAGTTTGTAGCAGTAAGCAGAGTAGAGGACAGAGAGCCTTGTAACAGAGAGAAACTTGAGGCTTTGAGAGACGCGACATGAGAATCTTTTTTCTGTAACCGCAAAATGCTGCCCTCTGAAGAAGTGGATGTAAATTACATAGCAACAACCACTTTTCTGTACTGATGATAAATCGATATTTGGTTCGTATAATCGTCATTAATCAGTGCTATATTGTATGTACATACGCATACATACATCAATTAATTGTAGATCATTGTAGATTAGAAACATAAAAAAGATTTTACAAAGGCAAAAAGGAGACACCAAGTACATAAATGCATTCGAAAATATATGAGATAAAAATTAAAAAATCCTTATATTTATTTAAGAATTAACTATTCAAATATATGTACGAGATCAATAATACAATTGACGAAATATATCATTACGAAAAAGATTTCAAAAACATTATAAAAATCTATTTAAAAAATAATTGTAAAAAAGGATATGTTATCAGTGCAATTACTCAACAATTTATACATGCAATAATAAACATTTAAAGATGGTAAAGTGGCTAAGTACGCTTGCTGAGCGATTGAATATGATTAGTTAGATCTGTAAGTAACAACCAATTATGTTTATTTGCTCGGCGAGCAGGCTAGCCTCTTTGTCAACTTGAACGCGCCCATTGGCTGCGTTCAGCAGAGAAAGCAGCTTTGCAAAATTGTATAGCTTTGCAAATGTTGTAAAATTCTTTAGTATGATTGGTTTATACATTTAGATCCATAAAGAATCAAAAGCAAGAACCAACCGTATTCAAGAATTTTACAACAGTTGCACAAAGCGGCATTCTCTGCTGTGCGCAACCATTAGGGCGCTGTCCCATTATACGATCGCTGGGCTACGTTCAGAATCATCTGAGTGCACCCAGGTGTTGTGTTATCCTTGTTTATCATTTGTGAATAACAAGGATAAAACAACATCTGGGTGCATCCGGACGACGATTCTGAACGCACCCCTGTACACGCGATATACGATTATAACGATTTGTACGTAACAGAATTCTACTGCTAGAGGGGTTGTATTTTTGAAAAATATTACATACGGAAATATAAAAATGCATAGATATATAAAACATAAAATATATATATATATATATATATATATACATATAACAAAATTCTATAATATACGTAATTATATTTATAATTTTCCTAATATTTTCGAGAATATATATACTTTAGGAATCCTATTTCTCTCTCTCTCAAAAATATTATATACATACAAAACTACGAAGCATTCTTTAATAAATGCCGAAACGCTAAAATATTTTATGAAAAATTGACAATATACAACAATTAAAATTGGAACATATATAATTATGTGGCTTATCAAGTGAATAATCATATTTTGAGACTTGTCATTTTATTATTTATATTTATGTGACAATTGCAAGAGATACTTAGTTGTATTTTGAGTTGTTATTTTATTATTACGACTAATATAATACGTATTTCAAAGTAACAATTCAAATTTAATACTTCTAAACAATATGCAGTGTTTGTTATGCTGATTGTAAATGCAATAATCGCTCTTCTTTTTTAGTACAAATGAAAAAAGTCTGAGATAATAAATTCAATTTTAGATAAGAAGCAAATTATTTTATACTCAATAAAACACTCACTTGATTAAAAATTGTTGTCCATTGCCATAAAATGAATTTATAGATCACTGAAATAAGGCACAAGCTCAATCAGATATGTTTCATAAATTTCCTGTATTTTATTCTTGGTTCTCGATTTTATATTTTTATTAAAAATGTTACAGTAGTAATGTATCATGTGATGTATGTACATTATAAATTGTATTTTTTATATTAAACGCTTATATTAAACGTACTCTTTTCTAGATTTTTTGATATATGATACATTAATATAATATTGTAGAAGTAATATTATAAAACCGTAAATATAAAATGAAACTATAAGTGTAAGAGTTTACACGATTATAAAAATTGTAAATATTATTTTGCTATAAAAATAACCATATAAAAATAACAATGTCATTTATAGCAAATTATATTTGCTATAAATATAACCAAAGTTTTGACTAAACATAAAATTAAAGTTTTTATTAATTTATATCTTAGTTAATTTTTTAAGTAAAGTTTAATTACACACTTTATGTTTTTAAATTTTATTATACACAATTTGTTTTTATTATATACTTATTTTTACTTCTTTAAAAAGATTCTTTAAATAAATTTTTACAGAAGTAATTACTTCTTAGCTATTACTCTTTTAATAAAACAATTAAATCATGTATTTTATCTCTGGAATAAAATGTTTTTACAATGAATAATTTTACGAATTCTTGTTTTACGATGTTATGTATAATTTTTATATGTATAAGATAATGTAGAAAGAAGTTTTTCAAATAAGTGACAACTTATCTACATTTGTAGATTGTCATGAAAGACTATCATTTTTATACTTTATCTAATAAAATCGAAAATAAAAATACGAAAAAAAAAGAATAAACAATGACAGAAGCCTATATGTTTCTACATGATGAATAGTATTAAAAGAATAATGCATCGTAACAATACCGTATACTTAGACATCGCATTATTAATGCAAGAACATTCATCATCGGGGATGTCGCAGCAGCTATAAACAAATGATATACTATACTTTACCACTGTCGAGGGAAGATTTGCTGTTACATTTAATGGATACAGCGATAATAAAAATATGGACTTACTACCGGTGAACTTTTACGTTCTTCGTTTCTGCGGTGTATGGAAAGAACATAAGGATAGCAACTTGATGGTACGCTTTGTCAACTTCTGCTACAGGTAAAATAATTATAAGATATATGTGAGGCAAATAAATTCAGTAATTCTGTTAAAAACATTTTGTCATTAAAATACATATTAAATTAAAATTATTTATAAATATAGTGCTCATTAATTAAGTCAAACATTTTTGGAAATTGCAATTATTATTTAGAAAAAGTACAATGTATTGTGTAATTTTTCCCCTTTTTGACGTATATAATTTTGATAGATATACAATTGCTGGTATAATATATCATTTTACGATATTTGAGATGGCCGAGCTTATACGTATGAGAAATGACATGGAAGATTTAACAGAAAGTCTATTCCTCGTTCTGACCTTTATGTGTTTGTGCCTAAAGTATTTAAACGTTTCAATACGACAGCGTGAATTGCGTGCCTTGCTTAATTGTTTTCGCACCAATCTTTGTCAGCCAAGAAATTCGGTGGAAGAGTCGATACTGAAACAATACAATCTCAAAGGTACTTTTATTGCTAATAGAAACATTTAAAAATTTCAACTAGAATATAAAATATTAATGATTAATCTTAGAATACAATAACTATTAAGTAATACAGTATTGCTATCAAATACGAAAATTTTACATATAAGAAAATGGACCACTTTTAATTTACGTAACACAATCTTTCTTTTATACAAATCAATAAAGAAATTGAACTAAAGTCAAAAACTTTAAACGAGAATCAATTAAATAATTAATAAATTTATTTACATTAAACTGACATGAAAAAAATTCATAGAACGTTTTGATTTTTATTTTGTCTCCTTTAACCGTAAAAAATTATAATACAAAGTTATACATAACAATATAAGAATTATCGTTATTTAGTTTACTTGTATATGTACATAAAATTTACGTATCGAGCACTCTAGGATTTAAATTTTTTATTATTAAAAAGATAATATGCTTATGAATATAAACATTCATATATTACATTATACATATATACTTATGTATGGAAAAAAAGACTTGCCGATAATGCAAATATTTAGTAATTATGTAACATTTAAATTTCGTTAATTATTATATAGACATGGAAACATTTGTTAAGATTAATTTTTGGCTGAAATAGCTATTTGTTAGATATGCGAATTATGTTACTTTATTGGAGTAACAAGTTTACTCTATTCTTTCTTTTTTATTTATTTAATTTATTTATTTTTATACTGACGTTCCAGTAAGCATTTTATTACTAATGCAATCATCTTTGAAATGAACTATTTGTTTTAACAAAGAAATTATAAACATTGTTATAAATGAATTTATTAAATAAAATTTGTCTGCTTAGCTAAATTATTTTTTTCCATGTAAAACTTTTCTAATCTTAATTGTCTCTATACATTACTGTATTGTTAAATGTTCACTTTACTTTATTATTAAATATAAATTATTATTATTCAATTATTATTAAATATGGGAAAGTTGTTTCCTTATAGAATAGATATAACTATAATCATTCCTACATCTCATAGAATCTAATTATTTTGCAAACTCCACTTCGTCGTAATATATTATGAACGAAGCTAAAAGGATAGCCTGTGCCTTCATGTTTATTTCGCAAATATCGGGTATCTTGGTTCTCATAGGACCTTTGATGTCGAAGAACGAAAGGCAGCTACCGATGAAGATGTACGTACCGTATTCCATGGTGGAGTTACTTCCTTACCTATTGACCTATCTTGAGCAAATTGCAGTTGTATTTTACGGGGTATCACTAAACGTCGCTTTTGATTCTCTCGTTTATGGTTTCATTATCCATACCTGCGGGCAGATCGAATTGTTGTGTTATCGATTGTCGGAAACATTCCGATTTCTACAGGAGAATAATAAAAAGATGGAGCACGACGTAATTGAGAACTTTGCCATCGCGGAATGCGTGAGACATCATATTTCACTGTGCAATATCACGCGTAGGATACAATCATTATTTATGTGGATTATCACCACTTTATTCTTCTTCAGCCTTATCACTCTCTGCAGCAGCGTCTATCAGATGTCTAATGTATAAAAATTGATTTAAAATATAAATAAAATTGATATCACAGCTAAGTGTGAATAATGTTCAATTGATGTCTTTATATTGCAGAAAAAGATTCTCAGTGTTGAATTCTTCATTTTTTTAGTATACTTAGGAGCAATGTTGTTTCAAGTGTTCTCATATTGCTGGTATGGCAATGAGCTTGATTTAAAGGTATTTTGTTGGGGGGTATAATAAATTTTTAGATTATTTTATTTTTAATTAATATTTTTAATCCGTTTGTTAAGTTAAATATTTTTTGTTTAGAATAAAAGTATCGCGTATGCTATTTATGCTAGTGACTGGACAGGAATATCGATAAAGCAACGGAAAAGTTTATCATTTATAATGATGATGAGCCAAGGTGGACGAATACTTTCTTTTTATGGAATTTGCTCGTTAGTTCTTAACACTTTCACATGGGTAAGTATATTGAATGTAATTACGACTCTTAAAATACACTACACTAAGAAAAATGTTCGAAACAATCGAAAGATCTCAATAAAAAGATATTTTGGTAAGACTAAATTAAATTTCTGGTTATTGTAACCAAAAATTCTATGTTTAGTCTAACCAAAATACTATTCTTGTTAGGTTCTTTTATTGATTCAATTAGAACACTTTTTTCAATGTATAATTTTTTAAATACACACGGAAACAATTTTTTCTTAAAATTTACCCTTTGAGAATATAATAGTTGTGTACAATACAATAATTCAAAGATTTTTACCATGTACTTCAGTAAAATAAATCAAACTTAATTATTTTATATAATTGTAGTAGTATATAATGTGTAGTCACATAAATTTTTTAAGAAAACTTTATATTATTTATTTTATACATTTTATTGTAGTTTTATTAATAAATAAAAGAGAGATTTTCTTTTAAAATTTTTTGAAATACAAGGTTATTTCACTACTATCATATTTTTAGAGGATAAATTTAAAAAAAAAGTACTTTCTGTGCGTGATATGTAATGTAATTTGTACATGTGTTGTATACAAAAAGATAAAATTTTTTTGCTTCTATACAGATTTTAAAGACATCCTATTCTTCTTTCAACTTGATCCAGCAAGCTTCAATTTAATATCTTCGTATCTATTTTTCAACAACTGTATTACCATTCTAATCTAATTAACATAAAATTTATTTTCGTATCTACTATACATTAGTCCCTAGAATTTTATACATAGATATTTTTATATCTACATTGATAAATTTGTTTTAAATAAATTATTCTTTAGTCCTGTGTATTTTAAAAATAAAATAAAATTTCTTGTTGAATATTTTTTACGAATTAATTTAAAACACGATGTATGCAAATCTAAAAATATACTTGCAGTTTATTTTGTGTGCGCTTTTGTAAATTTACAATTTATTATATTACAGTCGCCTTACAAAATTTTTGTTAAATTTTCTGACAAGAGAGCGCAATGCTTGCAAAAGAACCTCTTTCATGTACATCAATAGAAATAATACTTTAATGCCCCTCACTTTCAGTATCCCTTCGTACATTCGATATTGCATACACTGCACAAGTTTATAATTTAAAAAATAATGATCGGTTATGTTATCGCAGACGTGATCCTTCTTGGTTTATGTTTATATGAAAATAAATAAAAAGACGAAAAGAAAATGTTGTAGAGAAAGAAAAAAATCAGCTAATTCTGCCGCTATCATTAAATGTTAAAGAACGTGTAGGACATTTAGAAGCTTATAGAACGTCTCAGCGATATTATTATTAATTCACGAGAACGAACGTTGATAATGTATGGAAAGTCTCGTTATATTTTTCTCTACAAAAGCTTAATATTTTCAATGCATAGCAAGGCATAACAAAAGGAAGACTCTCTATAGTGGTCGTTCCGGAAATATGGATATATTGCCATTGAATTTCCGAGTTCTCTGGTTCTGTGGTGCATGGAGTGAAAAGAAGGATAATGACAGTCTTTTTATTCGTTTGTTAAGTTTCTGCTACAGGTATCAACAATACTTTTTTCTACATCTTGTTTTGAATATAAATTTCTATTATATTTTATATCTGTTTGCATTGTTCTACAGCTAATTTTTCTTCTTTCTTCTTTTTTCTTGAAATATTAATTTGTTAATCTGATTTTTATTACCAAAATCATTTAATGTAAAGCCTACGGAGATAGATTTTAAGCAGAGTTTACTACCGATTTTTGAAAGGCAATAAATTGTACACCAAGCTTTATCTGATATTGTTAACAAATTGTTGTCAGAAATATAACAAAGTCTGCTACACATGCTATGCCAGCAGATTAAAGGGTAAAGCCAGATCTAAAATTTTCAAAAAATCGTACACTCGCGGTGTTTAAACATCCTTTAATCTGTTGTCAACTTTAAATTATATTTTATTTATGTAGTTTTTATTATCTCTGAAGAAGGCTCAAAAATGAGCCGAAACATGTAAGAATAATTTTTGTAATAAATAAGTTTTTTGTAATAAATAAATTTATCTGCGCCTAACTCCTAGTGCCCTTTTTCTTTCCAAGTTAATTTTGAATTGTACGGGAGTTTTTGTCATCAAAGAATTATTATATAATTAGATATTTTTATTTAATTAAAATATAATTAAGTTATTAAGACACACTAAAATTTTGACAGATATGCCATTGTCATTTTAATATATTATTTTACGATATCAGAAGTAATCGAGCTTGTAAGGACGCACGATGATATCGAAGGTATAACCGAAGGACTTTTCTTAGCGTTAACTTATGTAGCTTTATGCTGTAAATATGGGAACTTCTTAGTTCGACAAGACGAAGTGTCCATGCTGTTAGACTGTTTTCGAAGAGAAACGTGTCAACCAAGAAATTCCGAAGAAAGGATGATCCTTATTAAGTACGATCGCAAAGGTATTTAACCAGTAGTTATTCTGATAAAATTATTACAAATGATAAATTTCAATATTTTTCTTTAAATAAGCTAAAGTTATTTATAACATAAATTTTTAACATATTCCTTCGCCATAATAATGCAATTATATTATTAATTATATTAATTATATCACACACACACACACCCACACACACACACACACACACACACACACACACACACAC